ACCACTTGGGTGGAGTGCAGGGAATTTCCATGTAAGTGTGTCCCGTTCGTTACCGATGAGACATGTTTGACCCGTGTTATCAGTAGTGATCGGTTTGTGATAAGAGGTCAATGAGGGTGTACGCCTGAATATCGCTAGTGAGCCGCGTGCAGGCCAAAGTCTAGATGACTTGCGCAATGGTCAGTCAGTAGTCACTAGTCAGTAGTCTGTAGTCGACAGTCAGTAAGTTTTGTGATCGGTTAGGCGTTAGTCCGGTGGTGGGAAGTCTGCCCATTATGGTCAAACTCCTCGGGGTTACATTCCGATTGGCTTAACTGATTCATTAAGGTATGTATTTTATTCCTCGTGATTTTTCTTTTGTAATACGATTTCCAGTTTTAAGATATGTCATTGTAATTTCCCAACAGATCTAAATTCCCAGTTTATGTGGTATTGGTAACTTATCGTATTGGAATGAACCTGGTTTTTCTAACTGTGGGGATTTTCGTTGTTTGAATCTCTATGAAACTGCCAATATTTAAACGCATTTGTTTGATGTTTCTTAATAAACAAGATTTCTCCATGTATTGCAACCTGTAAGAAAATATAATCTTACTACATGTTTATTATTTATTTTTTTACTAGCACACCATTACGACTAAAACATTGGTATTTTCCCAGCAATATTCGTATTTAATTCATACGCCTAAGGCATTTGTATCAGTGTTATTTGAGAACAAATGCGAGCTGTATGAGTTTAATATGAACAACTACATTTTACAATTTAAAACGTTTATTTTTCAAAATTCTCTCTCAATTAAAGTACAACAAATTCTGTACAAAACAGTACATCGCGTTTGTACTAAGAAGCAGAGTTATTAGTCTTTTGAGTAGCTGACTTAATTATGAAAAACCCACACTCCCTGGCTTTGTATGTATAATTTATTTTGAGAAGCCCTGTCGACCCTCAAGGCACCTTCAAAAATACCAAGAATAATTAACTCTCTGTTATGCATTATAAAGCTATAAAGTTCAGGTTTCGCTTCGATAATCTACAGTTAATCTTCATACAAAATATCTCAGTTTTACATTCTAAACAATAAACTTATCATAGAATGAAATTTAACAATTTTACAAGCGATAACTAATGTTTATTAGTCTACGTGGAAGGTCTCTTGATTGTAGCTTTGATACTAGCTTGTTTATTTTGTGGGTGATACTTTGTCGATGTAAGGGGAATTACTAGATAAAAATAGCCTTTAGATTACACAAGTCTTTGCCGAGCCCAAGTGAAGGAGGCATGATAAAGGTCAAGGGGATTTTTACAAACGCACATTGACCTGTACTATCATGAAACTGCGTACAAACCGATTGTTGGTTCTCCGTAGTACGAGAACAATGTATACTATTTAAAATAGCTTTTTACTATAGCGATACAACTATCTGAAGTTATTATTGTTACAATAGGCGTGTCTTTTGGCCAACCAAATTCAACCATTTAAATTTGATGAATCGATTCCAAACAAAAAAACAATTGGTCTTTTGTGCTTTTATCTTGACGTGCTTTTATACGTAAGTATAATAAATAGCAGCTTAAACTAGTATTTATTGCCATACTACTGCAAATCCTTACCCTACCATAGATAGGCCTACATGTGTCCATTTAAACCTTCAAATTAAAATGTGTTACTAAATCGTAGAATAAAGACAAAAAGTTAATTTCTTTCTCGATTTTGTTCAAGTATAATTCGTATTAGGTTAAAAGCTAAGTAATACATCTGAGGCTGATAGGTACAAAGTGTACAAAGTTACAGTGATGGGACGGGATGAGCGAATAGAAAACCAAAGGTTTACAAAAGCTTTGACTGAAGCACTGGTAATTGAAAACGTTAATTGTGTAAAGGATTACACTTATTTGGGTACATAAATATAAAATAAACATTAATTTATCAAACGTGTTTAAAATTAATACTGTAATTATTTTAAATATACGATTATGAAAAACATATCCATTGGGTTGCCACAAAATAAAACAAAATAATAAAATAATTTTTCAGTTTTGTTTCAACTTAAACTACTACTAATACTCGAACCACTTTGCTGTTTTAAAATGAAAATATATACAAAATTTTAGTTTTTGGGCCTATAAGAACTCACGCGAAACATTGGCAATTGATAACGCGAAATGTGGATGTACACACAATTATCTGAGGAAGATAAATTATGTAAGACTAGATGATGGAAATTTTAAATTCGGGTGATAGCCTGTCGAGTTCAGCTTGGTGATGCCCCGGGCCACTACCACACTACACCAGCACTACACGCGCTACGTTCATGCGCCGGCGTGGCTCGCTGGCAGCTGCCTGCTGGCTCAGACAATGTTATGATGACTCACATACAGTAGGCCTACCACTCCACTACTGTAGCAGGATAACATCACTATCTGACCTGGTGTTATACTTCCGTTTAACCTCTTTTATTTGATGTATTGAGCGCCCGTTATTTTACCACTCGTTGTCTAAGATTTTTGACCTCGAGAAAGCATATACCTGAACACAACCAATAAACAAATGTTGGCCAAGATATGAGAACCAACCCGTTTTCTTAAAATTCTATTGAGCCGTCATTAATTCAATTATCAATTATCAATTATTTAAGATGGGGACGCCACTATGTGCGTATTTTTACCCAAATATGAGTGAAGGATGAGTGTAGGATGAGTGGCGCGATCTTGTAGTCTTGTTAGTGACTAAGGCCGACATGTTACTTAGACACAGCTGTTAATTAATAGCCCATACAGCTAATGGCAACTAAGAACCCTACAGTTTATTGTGGAATCTGAACCACATTTTTCCCTCATAATTAACGAATTGGTCTAATTATTAGGATAGTACTGCGGATAGTCGTAGTAATCACTAGTGCGGACGTTAATCCACACCAGGGAGCATCCCATCCACAGTGCATCCCTATAAATATCCACAATTCGTGACCTCCTAGTAGCTGGATTACAGGACGACGCCACCAGTCCCAGTCATTATGTAACTGTATTATGTATGTACCTTTTAAGTATACGTAGCAACATGATACGTCCATTCTTCTTAGTAATTGAAAATCAACAGAGAAACGTCAATAATTATAAACATTTTACTGAGGGCTCAACTTATCTTCTGAAAATTCGTGTATTTACATTCTCAATAAAAATTTTGATTTTTCAAGTTACAACCAAGGAGACCAAATCACTTTATAGAATAAACACACAATACAAAACTACAAAAACTAAAGAAGCACACAAAAAATGCATGTATATGCTACAGTATATACATCTTAAACATAACACATTCCAAATGCACAAAAACAGCTTTGCTGTATATTGAATTGACAAAAAACGTAGAAGAAAACATAAAACAAATTTTAAAACATAGCGAACACTTATCTTTTTGTATAAATCGCTGAATGATTGAATTGAATAAGTTTATAGCGCCGATAACCTAGGTTCAACAACGGTTGGGTCAATCAGTGTGTTCTGATAATGGTATACAGATACCAAACCTTGTTGACTATTCAGACATTTCAAGGCAAGATAGAATTTGCAACTGTTTAATCGTTGTCTTATAAACTGATTTGCTTATATATGTCATTCTTGACTATATGCTTAATGGATAAAACAAATTGCCTATCTCCCAAGAAGCATTTTTATCAAGCGATTTATGAATAAGCCTCCCAAAACTATCTTATCTCAAAGGCAAATGTTCTTATTGGATATTGAAAGTATAAACCAAGCATGTGAGCAAGGAAATGATGTTTAACTAAAAATATTTATATCGTTAATGCATATGAATTATTACCATTAGGAATTTAAGATAATCAAAGATAATAGACAATTTAGACTAAATAGACTTGTTTAAGCTTTTTTTATTAATATGCAAACCAATTTTACACCTCAAGCTTCTTTTTCGCTTTTTCACTGGTAGAACACGTAACCAGTAGATGCTAAGTTTCACTCGAGATGCCCACGCCAGTCCTGCGGATGGACGTCCGGATTTCCGCAAGGTCCGTGGCTACAGACAGAGATGCGTCCGTGACATGCACCTCGCCCTCGCTATCCCATACATCATCGTGCGAGGACCCAGCACTGGGAGTGGGCCCGCACTTTCACATGCAAGGGCCTTGAAATTGGACCTCGGCTTCGGGCTCGATAAGGATTTGGGAGGACAGGGATATATCTGTCGAGGTTGACTTTTCAATACAAAATATGCAAGCAAACTTTGTTTTATTTTGGTACATTTGAAAACTAACGACGAATATGTGACGTGATTATGTTGGAAAATAAAATGACACACACTCTAGTGTACAAATTGGTTGACGAGAGTTTTGTAAAATGAGGCTAAGATACAACTGCGATAACATACTCGCACCTTTTTGACCCTGAACAGCTGGACATCGCGTAACATGTTTAATATTGACCTTCAAAACAAAGCGTTCAACAAGAAAGGATCGAGGCGTTCCCTTTGTTCTAAAGCCGTAACGTAGACACGGTATTGAGCTTATGGATCTTCAGCATAGATACTCTGAGGTGACGACCCTGGACACATGACTCACCGGGGACCGGTCTTCCCACAACGGACTGATTGATTTAAATCAAATCTGGTCTTCCCGAGTACGGGCTGTTTTGTTATTATCCTAAACAACCGACGATCGATTGCTCATTAGGCGAAGACAGGCCAACCTACATGCCTTGATTTATCACAATTCCATTTTACTTAAATACGATTATGCGATACTGTAAAATACGGTCTCCTTAATAAGAGAATCCGTTTTATTTTGGATCAACATTACTTTCACTGACTGCTTGGATAGACATTAGTAAATAATTAATTTAATTCAAATTTGGATACCTGAAAGTGTATATGCACTTATAATTTTTCATTCAAACGATCAACATATGCACTCTATTGTCGTCAATCTTGTAACATTTGTTAGTTATGAGAGGGTGTGACCTAACTTTACTTAACTTGTTCCAGGAGGCGTCCGTATGGCGTTTGGAATCGCTTGGAACTTATCTTCGGTCTGCGATGTACTTCTCATCGTTGTATTTGTCGTGGCAACCGCCTCCAATTCTCTGGTCCTTCTAGTATTCTATCGCAAGCCTGGCCTTCGAACTCTTTCTAACAGGTTGGTACAAATTTGGTAAAGCTTTACAGAAATTACATATATTGTATGTTGTGGAAAATGAGTTAGTTTAAAAAAATTGTATAGTGAAATTGGATGGATATGGAATTTTATAAATTAATATTACTAAAATAATTACTATTTTACACAGAAAAAAATTTCGGAGTTATCTCTTTTTTACATTACCTCCAGAAACTATACATCTATTACATTTTTAATAGCAAAAATTTTAAGGACATAGTTTCTTTCAGCCTACCTTTCCGGAGAGAAATATAAACTATTGGTCCGGCTATGTTCTTAAACAAACCACTAGCTTCACATATCGTCATTAATTTTGTTTGTACATAATATTTATTTTATCATAAACAGACACTCTACCTAGAATACATGCTACTCGTTAACACCTTTCCTTTTTAAGATATCTTCGGAAATCAAATTCAGTCCCATATGCTTGCCGTAATAGATATTTAAGGTGATTTGAATTATACTTAAAAAGTGGCATACTTATCTAATTCTGAACCAAAATAATTTTCCTTGGCTCTTGTTACAGATAGTTTTTTTTAAGTAACCAATTTAATCTGCACAAAATATTAAAACAGCCATAGGATAGTTAAAATGTATTCAAACTTACTATGTAATTTATGTATCTAAATTTGATGTTTATTTGAGTTTTTCAAATCAATTTTGTTTATTACCATTGTAAGATTAAACATAAAATACATGTTATAACGCTCTCCCTTCGTGAGAAGTGAATGTTCTGTGTGCCAGGCAGGGCTCGTCTAATGGAGAATAGTGCCTTCAGGTTTATGCTAATGTGCAATATGTCGTTGTCTTTGATACGGCTGAGTGTTAAGTGATGTCTAAGAGCAGTTTGATGAATCCTTCCATATATTCACGGGGATTTGTTCTGTTTTAGATACGTTTACATTATTTACTGAAGTATTTATTGGACCTACAACATATTTTTGCTCTATTGTCGGTTTTGGCACAAACCCCTCCATAATTTGCTACAATCTTGTATACTTTACTAAAAAAAATGGATAATGTATTTCAGATATTTACAAACTGGCAAATGTAAATATAATCATATGATTCTCCTGGTCGTTTTATAAACAATCCAAGTAGGATCGAACTTTTATAATTTTAAATTAGAATTGACCACATTTTATTTCAAGTTTAGAGTTAAAAAGTCATTACTGTAGACAGCTTCACAATTGTAAATATAAATTTTATCTTCAGGTTCGTAATCAACCTGCTGGTGACGAACTTGCTGTCCTGCTGGCTGCTGCTGCCGCTGGTGCTGGTGGACTCCATGCTGATGCCGAGCTTCCATAGCCTCTGCGCAGTCAGCCAGGGAGTCAGCACCGGTCTCAGTGCTGCTTCCGTCATGTCTGTGCTGCTCATCGCTATCGACCAGTACTACGCCGTCATAGATCCTCTCCACTATCACTCTCACATCGACAACACCCGCTGTGGATTCATGATCTCCGTCTCCTGGTTCTTTAGCTGCCTCTGGGCCGTGGCTGGCGGTCTCTTCTATAACTCTCCAAATATCATATGGACGTCATGTGACCGAGATCGTCAATCGGCGTTTACTCCGCTCATTCCAATAATCACGGAACCATCCATATCTGTATTTTCTGTCATTTACTCAGTTCTTACCTTCGTTTTACCATTTTCGGCCATTTGCTGGATGTACCTTTCCATCTACTTCGCCGCCCACGAGAACAGCCAAAGGACCCGCAGGAATGGATCCAGTACGGGGTTCTACACGAGCAACGCGGTAGCATCCACGCCTCCAGTCTCCTACGCCGTAGTGCCGGTGTCAGGGCAGCAATCTGCGGATCCAGAAGATACTTCCGAGTCGCCCAGGCTCTCAGTCAAGTCGGTGGACGGCGCAGATCCAACTGTTTTCGTCAAACCTTCGATGACTAGATCTCCAACAAGATCGAGCCTCAGAAGTACCTCCAGTTTCATTATGAACTCACTAAGATGCCGAATCTCCAACGCCAGTATGTTCAAGTACCGCGAAGAGACCAGAGCCGCCAGGATATCAGCGCTAGTGATAGTGATGGGTCTTGTATGTTGGTCTCCGTTCTCACTCGTCGTACTGTTCACTTCTCCGTTGGTCGGCATCCACGTACCTCACTCCGTTGCCAAGTTAAGCCTAACACTACTGGTAATCGCGTCCGTAGTTTCGCCGCTGCTGTTCGCCCATAGGAACCGCAGGATACAGAGGGATATCAGGAAGCTGTTTGGTATCACAAGACGATCTACTGCCATGTGCCCGCCTGGAGACCGGCAGAGAGCACAAAGCCAGAGGCCGCGAGGGCTTCCCGCCGACTACAGCCACACTGCTCTAGATCTACTCGCCGAGGGCGGAGACGAGAACAACTCACAAGTCAAGACAGGTTCTTTTTTAAGCCGGGTCTGGTGGGAGGGAGGTGTTCAGATAGTGACTAAGTTCGATAAAGTGTCAGGCAAGTCGTTGATCTGTGTGCCGGAGGTTGCCTTGGACGTGGACCACAGTCGAAGCTCGTTCTCGAGTGGTGGTAGTGCGTCGACGCAGCGCTCCACGTCTGCTGCATCTATCTCTAGCTATACTGCTGACGAGTGCTGACTACTGACTGAATGCCAAGTGCTATCTGCATCGCCTACACCAAAGGGCTTTCACAAAGGAGACCGGTGCCTTAAATACTACCAAATGTTTAGTGCTGAATTGTAGACTCGATTAATCTAATTTAGATAAGACTAGTATTTATTATGCATATTGTTGAGTCATTATATTTAGGATTACTTTTTATACTCACTGATATTTTTAGGAGTGGATGCGATTTTCTGAAGAAAATAAATTTCGCTCTTCGTACATTTATTTGTCGAATATCTAATCGGTTTCTTCCTAGTAAACGAGTTCGTTTTCAAATATGTATAATTCTATCGCACCTATAACTTTATTTATTTTACCGATCGACTCTATTTTATTTATTCACTTCATTAACTATACATTTCATTTAACGAACTCGTATTTTGAAGAGATCGAAGAGACAGCGTCATCTACTTACGACCCAGTCCCCACCATTGAACTAGTGAGTTTCGAACGTTACCTAGTATTATTATAGTATTCGTTCTCTATGTCATTGTAAATATACTTTAGGTGCTTCGGTTCTATATCGATATAGATGTAAATGTGTTTGTATATACTGTATGAAGTAAGTAGTGCTAAAGTGAGTAGCGAGTCGCCATCACGCTACTTTGGTGCCATCCTTAGTCAAGTATTGCATAATGAGAATCTCGAGTAGATCTGGCCAAATGTGATGTATCTAGATTGTACTGCATTTCACAGTACTGACCGGCTGACGCGGGATATGATCTCTTAAAGTATGACTATTTAACCAAAAACTATGTTAAGAAAATAGACGATTTCCTGTAACGTTTAGTCAGAATCTGTTTCCTATGTTAATGCCTATTTCATTTGCAGTATTAAAATTTACTGTTTTGTTACTTGCATTTTAGAGCATTTTATTATTTATTTCGTTGGTAAGTAGCCGTTTGAGTTTCATGCCGTTACTTAACTAAGTTCCATGTATTTATGTAATTTTATATGTCAAATTGATGTATTGAATAAACCAAGCTATCTTGTGTTATTAAACTTGTGTAACATTCTTTTACCAGCCACCTCGTTTATCTGAAATATCAATAGATAAACAATCAATTTAATCTCCTAATAGGCTACAACATAGTAAAATTCTTTGTTGGAAGTTCATTGTTGGTGATGGTGAGTTAATGTTGTTCAAAGGTTTGTTGTGGATAATTTCCATCACAGTGGTAAAAAAATACACAACGTTTTGGGATCTGGAATCTGATCCCGTCCTCAGGTGAAAAAAACTTAATTAACACATTACAACTAACAATACATAAGTCGAACCTAAGTTTGAATACACTACAGAGAGTAGTGGTAAAAAATATGCAAAGTATAGCAGTCAAGTCGTGATACAACACACAAAAAACTACCAAATACAAAACACAAAAAGTCTATATAAGATGTAGGGTAAACCTTACAAATTATGTAAAATACATTAACAAATATACAGTATAATGCCAGAGGAAAAATCAAACTTAAGCATAAAAGAGAAGCGTTGTATGTACATCTTAAAGGTACCGGAAACATTTAATCATATGCATTAGAGTCCCCTAAAACTCTAATTTTTTACACTATTTGATGGTAATTTAATATTACTATAATAGATAATAAATATCACGTGCGAAAAGGAAGTAAGATGGAATATAATTCAGAAGAACCAAAATTTTATCTGGCAGTCCTATGTTGTGTTATACTGTAATATTATCTGCAGACAACTTGCTAGATTGACATAAAAAATTGCTGGTATCAAAGAAACACAACGTTTCAATTCGAAAAAGGTTTTCAAAATCAGACTGACTGCATTACTGGCATTCCAACCCCTTTTTTATTAAAATTGATTTATATTTAAAATATGTATTTAGAGTACAAATTGGTAGAAAATGTCCTATAATATTTGATTCTTTATAAGATTATCGTTGTATTGAACAAACACTAATACTAACTATAGTGCAATGGCGGTATGTCATTTTATTTATTTCAACGGTCAGAGCCATTTTGTACAAGTATGTCAGCAGTTATAGTAAAGTACAAAAGGTTGCAAGCTATAAATATACACAATACAAATTAATTTTTACAAAAAAATAACAACGAGTGCTTACAAAAATAGCGATGAGTTGAGTGACCAAGGTGACAAAAGTACACAAAATGCACAATGGTAACAAAGTGCAAACAAATAGAAAACTAGGCGTGGAACAAAAGAGACAAGAAATTTACGAAAAACCAAGTACATAAATAGGTTTTGCAAAACACAAGGTATTACCTTGTATAATGTACAAAATACAACAGCAAACATAGGCTTTGAGCGTTGCAAAAAAAAGATGTAAAAAATGACATGGTAGAAGAACCACCACTCATATTTGTCTTGAGCCTTGCGGAGTTTTCTTTTGAAGGCGGATGAGCTGCAAAAGAAGAATTCGAGGTTGCTATGTCTCTAATTATTTGGAAATTTAAGTTTATGCATTACATAGTATTCATTTAGTCACTATATCTCTCAAATATACGACAGCTTTAATATCTGTTCCTGATACCAAATAACATCACGTCAGAGATGTTTTTTAGGACTTCTTTTTACTAACAATACATTAATAAACTCACACGCGTCATGTTTTAATGGAGCCCTTAGTAACGTTACATAAATACAAGATATACCCGAAATCTCTTTAGAAGGTTTCATTCGTAGACCAAAGACAAACTAAAAACTCACGTTTAAAATTTCTCAAACTCAAAAATTACCCATACAGCCATTTCATCTTTTTCATGAAACTATTTTTTATTCAATATCTGATTTTTCTAGTTGAATAAAAAAGTGCAAAGAATAATAACGCAAATACCTATTATTAAAATAAATTAGGCCTATCTTATTCATTTATTCCAACGGGAAACCAAGAAATAGTTATTTGTGCAACTAGTGAGCAAAGGGAGCAATTGACTCACTCGAGAGAAATACTTACTTACGAGAGGAATGGTTTCTCGAGTGAGGCAATTGTACTTTGAACTCGAGTTGCACATTATATTTTTCCTACAGTTACCATAAAACAAATAAATTGGTAAAGAAACGTGACATATTTTTACACAAAAGTGAACTTTTAATATTACATTCAATGATACAACAGTACAACAGCTCACCAGCTGATTTACAGCCAGTGCTGCCGACATATTTCGCGCGCATACGACCTTGTCTGCATGTTACGCGCTCACTATTTCGTGCCTTCACGTTGCAAATCTGGAGTGAGTGAGACAAAGTAATCAGAGTGAGACAATGTTAACATAGTCTCACTGATGAGCGAATTGGCCACTTTGCTTTCTCAAATCAGTGAGAGAACATGCACATTGTTAGGTAACTGTAGGAAAACTGCTTTTTGTTGATATGATTTAGTAATGTTTTTATAATGTTTGGTTTCAAATGGTGGCTGTTTATTGTGTTTAATCTTATGTAATCTAAAACTATATATGAAAACAAATCTACTGTAGTAACTTTTATGAAGACAATTTTATTTTTATTCTAACGATACCAAATTTAAGAAAATTGGTTCATAAATAAGGAAGAAATTTATTTTAAGATACTGTATACATCAACATTTGCACTTATTGGGTAAACAACAATTAAACAGCTGATTGTTATAGCTAACAAGCAGTTATGTTACCCAAGAACCGCATTATTTGGTTAGTGAACTGCATTACAAAAATTAGTTTTTCCTTTACTTTTGAACTGATTTTATAAAACTTTTTATCTCTGGCATGTAATAAGATTAGCTAAAAAAGCAATTAGTACATAAATAAGTTTGAATACTTTGAACAACCGCCATTTTGAAAGTAAACATCATTTAAAAAAATACGTTTTTGCGTTATTCATCTTTGAACCAATTTGTATTTAACTATACAAGTTTATATCAAAACGAAAATAGTATTTTCGTAAAAAAAGCTAAGTGGCAATTGTACTGGGGGCAACTTTTGAGTTTTGGGAAATTGTGATAGTGATATTTTAGTTTTTTTTTTGTCCAGGAATGATTACTTGAAAGATCGGTATTGAACGATTCGGGTACATCCTGTGCTAAATACACTGCTAATCAAAATGTATTCGTATGTGGAAAACTGTATTAAATAATAAATTTTGACCTACATGGTTAACTAGATTACTGTACCAATTTAAACGAATATTACATTTTTTTACAATTCTGTAATGATTGCTTTCTTATCGTTAAACTACGTTTGGTGCCATGGTTCTCATGGTGTTATAGCTTGTAAATTAATTATGCTAGGCATTTAATAAATAATTCTAGCAAAGACAACTGTAAATAATATTTATAATCGTTTTCATTTCTTCTCAAGAGTTAATTTCACTAAGTAGGCCTATGCCTAGTCTTTAAATGATACATATCATATCAAAAATATTTTAATGATGTGGGCAAGCGAAAAGCATTTATAAAGTCAGCCAAAGGTCAAACATCAACTAAATAAACCTTTACTCTTAGTTTAGTTAGTAAAGTCGTATCACATTTAAATTTTATTTCAATATTACCTAATGTAAAATATAAACAAAAAATAGACAATTTCATGCATTAACAATTTTCAATCAAATATTCTTGGAAATGTATATCCATAATATCTTGGTATTAACTTAGTCAATAACACGTATGAATACATCAAGAGATGCTTTTGCTTGAGTTTAATCCAAATAAAAACTTTAATCGGATTGAGGATTCTCTCTTTATTCTATTTGTTTATAAAACAATATTGCAGCAAACCTAAGGGAAGTTTTAAACCTAGTGTTATTTAAAAGAGAATTATGACTTATTTATACGAATATTTTAGCGAAAATTCCAATCCGACAAGTAGAAATTCGAATAGTCTGCAGGTTTGCTGCGGAGAGGTTGTTTTAATATTATTATTTAAAATCCGTCAGTCTAATAAATCACAATATTTATACGTAATACGTGTATGACAATATACTACAGGGCTTAAGGCAGAACTCATTGTACAAGGACGGTAAGTAAACGGTTGGGTGAAGTTAAACAATCACTTGTGTAAGAATAAGAACAATCCCCTTTGCATACAAGTTGATCAGGCTCTAGTGTTGTTTTTCAATTAAAACACAAAGAACCCCCCTCTTTAACACCTTTGCTCTTTAGCATATCGACCCAGTTGTCGTTTAATCTTACAAGGGATCGTCAAGTTTGCATTTCTTAGCGGATGTTTGTGATACAATATATTTTGAAAATTAAAATTACTACTGATACGTCCTGAAACCGTAGTTTTAAGTAGTACTAGCCTATAAATCATTAAATAACTTCTTGATCAGCATTGTACGTGTTATTAAATTTACGAAAAGTATAAAAGTAAATAAAAAAAATTAAAATAAAAAAAGTAAATAAATAAATAAATAAGGTGGAAAGTAAATAAAGATACGTCGTATAACAGTTAAAACATATATTTACGCTTATACTGTTACTCACAAGACGGTAAATATACAAAATATGGTAAGTGGTGATCGATTTCGATTGGACACTCCAATCATCATCAGACCCAATAGGCGAATCCTATTGGAATATTATTATTATTATTATTATTATATATTATTATTGGAATATATCTATTGGAATATTCGCCTATTGGGTCTGATGATGATTGGAGTGTCCAATCGAAATCGATCACCACTTACCATCTTTTGTATATTTACCGTCTTGTGAGTAACAGTATAAGCGTAAATATATGTTTTAAGTGTTATAAGACCTATCTTTATTTACTTTCCGTATAAATCATTATAAAATACTACGTAAGATCCGATTTAAAAGGGCAAATATACAAATAAAGTGCTCATTTAAATCGTTCTATCTTAGTAATTAATGTTATCCATGAAATAAATATGATAATATTACAGTAGATGATTCTAAATGCATCTGTGAAATAAAAAAATATATTATTGTAAAACACTAATAAAAATTGCATGGCTTAAAACTAATCACAACTTTAAACGAATATGGAGTTTGGATTGCTCAGCAATAAGTC